ATTAATTAATGACATTCTCTACAATTGCAAAATTTTGTTGCCCTATTTTGTCATTGGATTGGAAGTAAGCTTTTTTTATTGAATTTGATTTATTGAATAATTTGAGTTAAAATTTGAAAAGACTGACGGTAAGGATTAAAGGAATCCCAATCACAACATTTCATATATAAATTTTTTCATACAAAGTTACCAAATTAGGGACACTAACCTAAGACTATTCACTTAAAAATATCAAAAAAAACATAAAAGAAGATGAATAAAACTAAAACCACAAAGTGCAATGAATAAAATACCCAAAAAAAAAGTATAACCTAAATATAAATATAATATGTGTGTTTTCTATGTTCAATAAGCATGTCAAGTCTACTCATATTTGGAAACTTGTTCATTCCTCAATATTTATATTTTAATTATAATTTCAAAATTTATAGTATTGTTTATATATAAAATAAACGTACAATAAATTATAATAATTTTTAATTCAGATATATTCATGTGCTTTTTCTTATACCTACTCATTTCACACCTAATAATTTATAATGCATATATAAAACTTTATATATATATATATATATATATATATATATATATATATTTTTTTTGCATGGTCTATATTTATAATAACTAAGCTCTCATAATTTATAATCATATTTTCTTTTTGATGAGAAACCTATATTTTTTGCATGGTCTATATTTTTTTCTGAGGAAACCGCCTGTTGCCCTTCCGTTGAAAACAATCTAGAGAACTCAAATATATATTTTGGATATAAAAATTATCATTTAAAGTTAAAAGATAAATAATAATATAATATAATATCTATATATATGACAATATTTTATTTTTTGGAACAATAAATAAAATTGTATCATAAAAAACTATAAAATAGACCAAAGAATTAAATACATATATAGAGTTTGCATCTGCGTCAATAAATTTAATCCAACAAATGTAAAGATAATTATAAAATATTACGAAAGTTTGATCTAATCTGTCAAACTATAGAAAATACTGGTAATAAATTATAACATTCTTTATAAAATTACTAGTACGAATCGCGTATGATGCACGGTAAGAAATATTCATTAATATTTATAAATTACTAATGCTCATTAAATAATATTTATAAATTAGAAATATAAAATCAATATGTAACACAATATACATATATTATTTTTTTGAAAATGTTATATAAATTTAAATTGTGCAAAATTACATAAAAACATGTCTATTTAAAATCAGTACACGACTCATACGGTGCAAGTAACTGATAATAAGTTACATTATATTCATTTAAAAAATAGATGTCATTTTAAAATTTTTATTCAGAAATTTGATTTGACTACAATGTGATTTAAGTAAAAACGAACTTATATACACACACGCGCGCACACACACACACACAAAAAAAAAATAATTTGATATATTCCACACACATTTACAAAGAAGAATCGACCATAGTATTATCCATATTTTTCTTTCATTAATATCGAGTAAAATGTTTAGCAAATATGCAAAAAAAAAAATATTGAGATACCATTTATTACCTTAAGCGGGTATATTGGATCAATATATAGTATACCAAATAGTTTGATTTCATACATCATTGATAACATATAAAAAAATGATATTTAATTTAACCACGAAATTAATTGCCCAGCGCAGAAAACAAAAAAAAAGACTCGCGTTTATTATAGATAAAAATAAAAAAAGACCCAAAATTAGTTATTAAAAAATAATTAAATAGAAACTGCCATTAGCACAATTATTTTAGAATAATTTTATAAGAAAATTATAATTGAATAAATAAACCAAACTTACACGATCTGCGTAATTAGGGTATCTTAAAAATGTATTTTTTTTTGTCTAATTATTTCCTTAATTATCAACGATTTGAGCAATTAAATACACAAAAAATAATAACATTTAT